TCCACGCTCGTGTTGGTGACCTTCGCACGCAGCAGACAACTCACGTGCTCCGCAGTAAGCCTGTGCGCGACCTCGTATCTGGACATTGGCTCCGCTTACCTCTCCATTAGAGATAACCAAGCGTTCCATTGTTGAACCGGTTGCGCTGATCTTCTGTCGTTCACATACAGATTGTGCATGTTACTACATCGTTAAAATGCAACTGCATCCATGATCGTCTGCATCACTCTCATGGCGCTTCGAATACGGTTTGGTCCAATTTGCCCCCCCCCCCCCAATCGGCTGTGATGTTCTGGTTGTTTTGCGAACCTGTCATCTTCATTCGGATGTACCTTTGGTGTTTTTCGGCCCACATACTTTAAGCCCATAAGCTATCATGTAATTGAAGCAAATGTCGCTTCTTCATGTAATGCAGCGTTCCCATGCACTCAGCCGTATCATCTTTTGCCACTTGTCATCGTGAACCGTTTGTTACCGTTATGGTCACGTTGAGGCTAGTGCGAGCTGAACGTCTACTTGTGGGGCCACTAGTTTCAATCGCCGTCGGGCTGACAATCGTTGTTCGTTCACAATTACAGAGTAGTGTAGGTAACGCACAGCTGACAACGCATGAGACGACGACTACTACCAGTGACCCCAACGATTGATTCGTGCAAAGGCAGCTCAGGGCAGTCTACAAGCGACGAATGCGCTAGTTCACACTGCACGAACTTATTCATCGGTGCTGAGCTCATTATCTGTCGCTTCACCTTATCACTTTTAGGTTCGCCCATACTTTTAGCTTGATAATAACATCTGTGATGTAGTGCTCACCCACTCCGAGTTTGAGGTTTCTCTTGCATGAGTTTGAGCGCCACTGCATTATCCGATCAAAGTTCAGTCGCCTGTGGTAGATGAATGGCAGCGAGGCATCAATACATCGTACTTGTGTGCTACCGATAACTGCTGAAAAGTTGATCTTTCAGGGGCAGATGGTTTATTCCGCAATCGTAGATAAGCATAGCTGAAACAGCTCATTGGAACCACAGAGCGTCTCATCCACTTCTATGATTAATGACAAGCTTCGTCCTTTGACTCAGTTAAACAAACGACAAGGATCTCACTGTAGCTCATCCCCGATTGTTATCCAGTCGTCCACCAAAACCACGCATACTGTGTCCAATGCCCGAAACCACCAGCTTGATCTCCTATTGGCTCATTCCTTTACCTAGAGTTTCCCATTACACAACCTTTTCCTACATGACATACGATAGACAGAATTTTGGAACACACTGTATATCAGAAAGAGCTGTTGTGAGATCGCGGTGCTCAATTCTACTCCCTGTGTTTCAACTCGGCACTATGACCAGCTGACAATGATATTTTGGCGTAAATGCATTCCTCGAAGAAATTTTTGCTCAACCATTCACTGCTCTGCCTCGGTGCTCACATTGCAGTTCTTGTTCGTCGGGTTCCTTTTTCTCAACCTCTTCTTCAATTACCCCACTACCAATCTTCTGTTGGTTACCAGATATGTTGTAATAGGCAATATACGCTTATTCATTATCCACTTTCGTTGCACAGAGTACACGGACGCTTCTGGAACAGAAACAACTACTCATACGACAACTGCAAAGCAAATCACATGGCCTCACCACCATAATGGAGCAGATGCGAGAACGGTGAGTTTTAAACGTGTTGTCTAAACCCTCCGCCAAGGAAGAACACGGCAGGTGGTGACACACTCGGGGAGTTCCGTTCCCGAGTCTAGTCGTCATTAACAGAGGAAGTTTTTGTCCCTTTTGTTGGACGCTCAAATTCGGTGTACACGCCAATTCTCACGCTCCGCGTTCCACTTCATTTTCTCACCGTCCTTACTTACTGTTATTCTGGCAGTGTGAGTCGTAGCAACTGAATTTACCGCACTTTGCTGACTGACTCAACTGATCTGAACGCCACCGTCATCTTCTCTACGACTGACTAATACTTCCCGGTAGTGCCCCGCCAGTCTACCGTGCGGAAATCGAACCCTAAAAGTCACGATAATAAAGTGAACCCCTTTTTATAAAGTCCGGTTCATGGCTGAAAGGATCACAAGCCTGTCTTGGAATCCGGATATCGCGGGTTCGAGCCTGTGTTATGGGACCGGGCGATCCTCGCATTACACTTAGCCCACGAGCGACTGCTGGTGGTTGCGCTGCAGCGAAGCGTCAATACGGCGTACCGTCGTACTGCTGATGGCCTATTTTGCTTTTTAAAGAGCATAATGCGCCGTATGTTGCCATAAACTATGTTATGTTATTTGATAGACTTGCTGCCTGTGGTATGGTTCAATCTGCGTATACCTGAGAACACAATTTAGTTTGCGGAAGCGAATAAGAGTTCCGTTGCAATCGATAAAAAGTGTTATGAACGGAAGTTTCCGAATAATGAACGGCTACCAAAGATATGTGTGCGCATATAGTTGCTTATAACCTATTAGGCCTTGTGTGTTGCGTTCCGATAGTTCGATATTTAGAACTTACGGCTAAAAACAACAATTTGACCTTCATATACGAAACCCGGAACGTTGCCTAGTAAAACAAAATCCTGGACATGTTAGTAATTCGATGAAAAAGATATTGCAATAGTCGGCGGCCTGCATCCGTAAGGGCACTCGAATGCTTTAGTACACCAGAAACTCTATTAAAATCATTTACGTATCAGTCATTCAACTGGCAGACCGGTGGAAAGTTACTGCACTTGACGTCTGCTCTCTAATCTCAGCTCACAGTCACATTTCTTGAGAATGAGGAGCATTCGTCCCGACGGCTTCATATGACCTGACATTAGCTTCACATGCCATTTGACAACCTAGGAAATAATAATAATAATAGTAATAATAATAGTAGTTCTATTTCTCATCAAGTGAGTAGCTGAGTCCATATTCGGCACAGATCATATATGTACAGGTGATATCATGCTCTTGCATGGGCAAAACAAAGAGGTTCTCTTATATACCATTTTCACTTTAAATTGGACATTTTTCAAACCACATTGGACATTTTGCAAACCACATTGGACATTTTGCAAACCACATTGGACATTTTGCAAACCAAACTGGACATTTTGCAAAACAAATTGGACACGTTGCAATCTAAGTAGCAACTCGCCAATTTGTTGGTAAGAAACGAGCAGTAAGACTGCTGAATGATGTTCAGAATATACATTGTGATGACGCTAATACACCGGCATTGTGTAAACAGCGGGCTACACTGTAAAACATTTGCTTGGTCGTGAGCAGCGACCGAAGTTCTGAACTATGCTCCCCTCTCCCCATTGACATTCGCCTAGTTGGTGTGCAGTGCCCATACGCATCAACCTGTGTAGGTGTGTGACAATTGGAAAATCGGACGTCCGAATCGTAATTGTGTATCAATCATTTTGTGAGTGGATTGCGATGCGCAATCTCAATGTGCACCGTTATTCTCATTAGAGGGAACCTTGTCCGATTCGGTCAATGGGACCATGTCGGATGAAGCAGGTAGGCGGTGTCCCAGCTTCGCCCGTCTCTCTATTAGCTTTCGCAACTGCCACGTTATTGTATCAGCGTAGGCTGTAATGACCCCCAGCAAAACCAGTCTAGATCTATAGCCTATTGTTGCAACATATCAACTACTGAGGAGTGGGCCGATTACACGATGTTCAGGCCACATTGTGGTCACGATAATGTAACCGAACTGCGTACGTAGCGGGTGATTGTGTAAGCCCTTCTCTTGACATGAGTGCCGTTCGCCTCGGTCAAAATCGGTGACCTATTTTCCCCTACACCCCCCCCCCCATAGGAATTCGTGTGTTTTGTCTGGGTGTGTGGACCGACCTATGCAGCGGTACCACTATTGCAGCGGAGCATACGATAATGGTTCCACTCAACACAACTTAGCTTTATTAGCTCCGTGCCGCACGAAACGACCAAAACGAGTGACGAACAACAGGAGAGCTGGTGTCCGACGCGACGGCACTGCAGGCGAACATCATTTGCGCAAAGAGAAATTCTCACAAAACTTGTGCTGGTCGACGGCAAAACTACTCGGGAAGCCGCTGAAGTCGCCGGTGTTAACGCGAGTACGGCAAGGAACATCATTAATGCCTACAAGCGAGAAGGCTCAAATACACAGCGCACCTGCGGTGGAAACAATAGGGAGAAGCTGACTCCCAATGTATTGCAGCGCGTCGAAGAAGCGGTTGAACGGCACTCTGAGGACACGTTGGTGCAGCTGCAGATGCGCCTGAGAGAGAATGGGATAAACCTATCAGTATCCTCTGTCTTCAACGCCCTCAGAAGACTAAAGATAACTCTCAAAAAGTGTCATTACGAGCTCGACCGAGTCAACAGTGCCACGACAATCGCTAGCCGACAGGCGTACACTCTCGAGTTCTCGGCAAACGCACCTTCTAACAACGAGAAATGCATCTTCATAGATGAGAGTGGTTTCAACCTTCATCTTAGGCGAACTCAGGCTCGCTCAAAAAGAGTGACGCGCGCGAACGTCGTGTTACCAACAGTCAGAGGTCGCATGGTAACCGTGATTGTTGCAATGAATAACCAAGGCGTCATCCATTCAAAGCTCATTAACGATGGCACCTGCAATGGTGAGAAGTTCTCAGCGTTCGTCGAGGAACTGGTGGCGCGTATAAGCTGCATAGTGGAGATGAACGGCGCGTGGCTGATCATGGACAATGCCAGGATCCATATGCCTGATGAGCTAAGGAGGATCATTTGTTCGTCTTATCACCTGCAGTTCTTGCGGAGAACACGAGAGCGTACGCCTGTCGGCTAGCGATTGTCGTGGCACTGTTGACTCGGTCGAGCTCGTAATGACACTTTTTGAGAGTTATCTTTAGTCTTCTGAGGGCGTTGAAGACAGAGGATACTGATAGGTTTATCCCATTCTCTCTCAGGCGCATCTGCAGCTGCACCAACGTGTCCTCAGAGTGCCAGTCAACCGCTTCTTCGACGCGCTGCAATACATTGGGAGTCAGCTTCTCCCTATTGTTTCCACCGCAGGTGCGCTGTGTATTTGAGCCTTCTCGCTTGTAGGCATTAATGATGTTCCTTGCCGTACTCGCGTTAACACCGGCGACTTCAGCGGCTTCCCGAGTAGTTTTCCCGTCGACCAGCACAAGTTTTGTGCGAATTTCTCTTTGCGCAAATGATGTTCGCCTGCAGTGCCGTCGCGTCGGACACCAGCTCCCCTGTTGTTCGTCACTCGTTTTGGTCGTTTCGTGCGGCACGGAGCTAATAAAGCTAAGTTGTGTTGAGTGGAACCATTATCGTATGCTCCGCTGCAATAGTGGTACCGCTGCATAGGTCGGTCCACACACCCAGTCAAAACACACGAATTCCTATGGGGGGGGGGGGGGTAGGGGAAAATAGGTCACCGATTTTGACCGAGGCGAACGGCACTCATGTCAAGAGAAGGGCTTACACAATCACCCGCTACGTACGCAGTTCGGTTACATTATCGTGACCACAATGTGGCCTGAACATCGTGTAATCGGCCCACTCCTCAGTAGTTGATATGTTGCAACAATAGGCTATAGATCTAGACTGGTTTTGCTGGGGGTCATTACAGCCTACGCTGATACAATAACGTGGCAGTTGCGAAAGCTAATAGAGAGACGGGCGAAGCTGGGACACCGCCTACCTGCTTCATCCGACATGGTCCCATTGACCGAATCGGACAAGGTTCCCTCTAATGAGAATAACGGTGCACATTGAGATTGCGCATCGCAATCCACTCACAAAATGATTGATACACAATTACGATTCGGACGTCCGATTTTCCAATTGTCACACACCTACACAGGTTGATGCGTATGGGCATTGCACACCAACTAGGCGAATGTCAATGGGGAGAGGGGAGCGTAGTTCAGAACTTCGGTCGCTGCTCACGATCAAGCAAATGTTTTACAGTGTAGCCCGCTGCTTACACAATGCCGGTGTATTAGCGTCATCACAATGTATATTCTGAACATCATTCAGCAGTCTTACTGCTCGTTTCTTACCAACAAATTGGCGAGTTGCTACTTAGATTGCAACGTGTCCAATTTGTTTTGCAAAATGTCCAGTTTGGTTTGCAAAATGTCCAATGTGGTTTGCAAAATGTCCAATGTGGTTTGAAAAATGTCCAATTTAAAGTGAAAATGGTATATTTGTCTGTTTTTGGCAAATTATGTCTCATGTGTTTGTGTTTTATGCGAAGGTAGGAGGCACTTTTGTAGTTTGAGTATATTACAAACACTAAGGGCTAATTACATTGCGTATAGTTGTCGAATTATACCCACTAGACGTTATTTGGGCTTTCATTAAATAGATCGTCAAGTTATCTTCCCCACAAACAAAAGGATGTGGTGGTTTCCAAGTCGAGGTAGCTACCAAGCTTACTGCAAAATGATTGCACAGTCTCACACGATCTGATTGTGATTGGGGGTAGATTCCACGGAAGAAAAATCTGGTTAGAAAGAACTTAAACCACAAATTTATCCTGCATCGTCGTATAACCAAGGTAAAGCCTTTGTTACGAAGGTCCCGCGTGAAACTGTGCTACAATGCTTATGTGAATAAACTGCAATATGCATTGCCATGAATCAGATTGTACTGCAGTATCAAGTTATGCTTTCGTCTTCGCGGCCAAAGCTGATCGAAATAAAGTTGCTGGCACCGCTCCTGATAGTGCTTGGTAGAATTTTTGATTATTACACGCTTCCTATCGATGTTCTGTCAGACTTCCTCATATTGCCACAGATTATGCTGCAATTCTCTAGGGTGGGGCGAGTGAGGATTTTAAAAAGTTCGACTCTGGCTGAGATTGTGTGCACCTTATGATATATATTAGCCATGGATTTTCCGACTCGTGCTATCTGGTACTCCATCTTTTCAGGAAATTTAAGGCTACAGGAATATTCAGTAAAAAAAAGTTAACAACAAAACACCGCAAATTTCTCTGTATATTCTCCAGTGCGTATTACAGAACACGTGCAAATTTATGCAATCTGGAATATCTGATTCCATTGTCACGTGTAGACTGTTGCACACAGATGAATTCGCTGTTAATTGTGATATATCCTTCTGGTATCAAACAGCCGCGACACATGATACTTAACATTTGTGCTGAGAACATCATCCACTTGTCGCACTATGTCTCAAAGGAATGAATATTATCCTGAAGGAATGGTGGTACTTTCGGAAGCTCAACTTGTCGAAACCTGTAGACAATTTTCGTATCATCAGCAAATAAGAACGCTATTCTTGATACCCAAATCTTCATAGCAGAACACGATGTACCTACTCTCTAGTTCATTCCCACTGTTATCGATGTTGGTATATGGCATGCGCCTATGTCACTCTGAAGGCCGATACTTTCTGTAGCACTTTCATTTCCACGTAGCTGTTTGATATTCCTTCCTTTATTGTCTCTAACCCACTCTACTTGTATTACCTTATACTTTCCACTCTTTTGGTGGTCTGAGTGTTCGCTGAGCTCGGCAGTTTGACTGCAAATGTTTCCTCACCACTCGAGGTGGCATCGTCAGTGCGCGCTTATTTAGCAGAGCGGCACGGTACGAAGCGTCACCTCGAGTGGTGACGAAACGTTTGCAAACGGCCGAACTCAGCGAACACTCAGACAACTTACCGGAAAATCTGAGCTACCAACATTTGATTCTACTCTTTTGTTTTCACTTTTATTCCCCCCACTATAGTTTGAAGATTTTGAGTACCGAGAAAATATCGGTGGACCGAGCGTTGGATCAATTGAAGCTGCAACTCTCCGGGCTACAAACGCGTTCTGCACAGCAAGATGCTGATTTGCTCACTCAACGCGAACTGATAACGGAATTGGAGACGCAGCTAACTGAGCGAGTTGCCGAACTGGAAAAACTGCAACCCAGGGTGGCGGAGTTGGATGCGTGTAAACAGGTGAGAGAGAGGTATCATCATTGGGTTTGTGCGCTGTCATAATGACGCACATTGAATGAATGTTTTGCAGTACAATTTTGGCTCCAATCGTTTTTTCTACTCAGTGACAATCCGTGATGAGAAACAGGCGTCTGATTTGAATGCCTGTAGAACGAAGGGCCCTCGGTGGCTAGGTCCTGTATTCTTTACATATTTTCAAGGCAACCGCTCAGCATGTATCGTTCCTAAGGCAATGTGCCTATTTGGGCGAAACTCCGAGGCGGTCAGTCATGCTCTTTTGAGCGTGATGGAATTCGCCGAAAGTCTGAGCCGAGTTGATTATTCTCTACTCTGGTGGGATTCTCCTCGTTTTGGACATCTTACGCCGGAGTCCAGCTACCATGCTTCATATTTACTCCCTCGTTTCGTCCTCTCGATAGTGGTTGAAACGGATCACTCTCGTAATATGTTAATTGCCTATCAACCAGGGTTCGAATCCATGCGGCAACATCTATCGATCTTTTCGGTTGCAGAATTAGCTTTTGGCTTTTAGGCCAACTTCTTGCCACCCTCATAGATGTTTAGGGATTCGAATAACCACATGGACTCTGTCAATGTGCGCAATAACGTCCGTGGTTCGAATGCCTATGGTCATGCGTTAAGCTAGGTAGGTAAGACAATCGGCTGCCTCTGATTCTGTTCACTGATAGCTGAACCTGTGCATCCTTGGAAATCGGAATGTCTCGTTTAATCTCACTGCGCTAAAGGTGATTACCTTTTTCAGCACCTAGCCACTGAGTAAAGAATATGATCAGCTTTTGACCGGTTCGAGGGGGGCGAGGGTCGTTCCTAACTATAAGATAATCATCCCTATCCTGTGCGACATGTATTGGACGACCAACAATGAATCACAAACTATGACGATGTAGTTAGTATGCTCCAAGCCTCGAGGTTGGTTACAGGGAAGAAGTTCAACCACACTAGTCCTAAGGTTTTCCAGCGTTCCCCTAGATTGCATTCACAACGGAGTTACTCGAGACGGGCGACGTTTCAGGAGGCCTATCTCACTTCATTGGCGATAGTGAAGGTAGGCACATGATTACAATCTATCCGCATACTACCCGAGCCTTAAGAATAAGTATCGGAGTGTGTTAACCTACTACTTCATCACACCTTTTCACAACAGGTAATCCCAGTGAGAAAGTCTGACACATGTGTTTGATGCGGCTTTCGCACCTATAAAATGTGCTGGTTGGCTGATCTAACCTTTGATTTTACTCGAGTATGCGGGCGACTAAGTGCTAAGCTTACGATTGTGTACACATCGTTTTCATTACTGGCTCTTGTTGATACTACCGATCTATCTGTCACGTTTTAACTCCGATTGCATCTATCTGTAAGGTTCCAACATCGCTCTCTCAGACCACCAGATCTCTTCCTGAACCTGTAACTTGAGCCCACCTCATCACTCCTTATCGTTCAGCATCTGTTTCTTATATCTTTTTCGTTTCTAGAGAGTGCACCATTTGGAAGATGAAGTCAAGCACTGGCGCACTCTGTCTCAGGAACAGGAGACCAGTCTCTCCGAAATGGCGGCTGTTGTTAGCTCCAGCAAGCTGGAAGCGGACTCCTTGCGTGAGTCTCACAACGCACTCACGGATGCTCAGTGGGCAGACGATTCTGTGGTACCAAATTGCCTACAGTGCAACGCCGCCTTCAGTGTGAGCCGTCGTCGGGTAATTGAACCTCGTTTTATGATTCTTTGTTTGATTATGAAATTCGTTTATCGCCGTTTACCGCAACCAGTTAACCTGTACAACAGTGCTCCGGGCTGTGAAGTGTGATTGATCCAGTTGTCTTGACTCCCGTCCCCATGATGACAGCGATTCAGGACGGCGAATCTAAGGAAAGGTAAGTTGCAAAGCGGAAGACGGTAAAAGGGTAAGTTTTACAAATCGGGTGCGCAAGTTATCAGATGCATGCAGGAGAATTAATATAAAATGCCATTCTTTTGTCGATTATCTCTTTCCACACACTTTTCGTCCACTGGTGTACCGTTCTCGCCAACAGAGAGTACTATCACGACACACCTTTGATTCAATGTATTTATGACTTCTGCCATCCGGTAGTTACGAACGGGTGCTCGATATTCACCCTTTAGTCTAAGTGCAAATGACGGCCCGTTGGTACACCCCACGACTCGCTGCCAAGCGCCGACGGATGGACCATTATATTACTGACTCAGCGGTCCTCCGTGAATATTGACACCATCAGTTGTGTATGATTAGTTTCTGATCCACAAATTAACACATGCTAAGCTGCAGTGTTATACACTCTGTCGTTGGATGATGAGCGAATATCCCGTCATTTCCATGGATGAAAAGTTTTCGAAAACACACACTAATCTTCCAGTTGTCTGCATCCTGCACCTTGATAGTGTGGCCATCTGAAGTATTACAGTTAGTCCGTAATTTAACCCATCCTTCACGGTCATTGGCTATTCTGTGAATACGTGACCAAAAGACCTACTGAACCTAACCTGCAGTTTAGTTTCAAGCGTACGCGTATGTGCCGAAATGTGTGTCACTGTTCTTTTATGCAGCATATTTTCTAAAGGACACTTGGCCCTTGGAGAGCTACGTAGTCTGCTCATATCAGTTTGTCATTCGGTCATGTGGCGGAACGTCTACTTCAGGGGAAATAGATAAGACAAACGTTAATTATCACCTCGACTGCTACATCATTCAACTACCCATTCCCCAATAATTCGAATGACAATTAATACAAACAACTTCCCCGACGAAACAAAACAGGAGTTTCAAACTACTGAAATCAATAGTCTATACATCTTTTCCACAGATGAGCTAGAGAATTGCCATCATCGTGAAATGTCATTGGTTAAGCAGTAGCACTCAGTTAGCCAATCAGCTTCAGTAAGAACGGTCGATGGAAGCGGCTTGTTCGCCCTAACACCCACGGTCTACCCTCTTTTATATGTGATCAATGTTATGCGCGAAAACTTGCTACTCTGATGCAAGGATAATTACCTGTCAATGATTTCATTTGCTTTGCTCCTTCTCGGTTTTCAAACTGTTCTCCGTATACCTTTGCTTTTGATGAATAAACTCTAAGTAGTCATCTTTTCACGGGTGCGGCTTGCTAGCGTTTTCTCAGCGTCTTTTTTGATCCAAGTGATCCACAAAAAGAAGTACTGTACCGCTTATCCACAAAGTATATTCTTATTTACTAAACTCACCTTGGGCTTGTTACAACGACTTCGGGAAGTACTCGTCATTTCCGTTCGATTTGAGCTGAGCTGTCGTTTGTCCACCACTACGCCAAGTGATGGGTTGCATTCACTTATCCATGTTTCCTCTCTCCCTCTCCCCTCATTTCCGTCCCGCCCGCCCTCTCGCCTGCTGTTGTTGTTGCTGCTGTTGCCACTGGTACAGCACCACTGCCGCAATTGTGGTCTCATATTTTGTCACAACTGCTCCTCTAACGCGATGTCACTTCCAAGTTCTGCCAAGCCGGTTCGTGTGTGCGACAAGTGTCATGCCCTGCTTTTGCTACGGTACGCGGCAAAATCCTGACTTGTCTCCACTACCCCCATGGCCCCGCCCCGCTGTGTTCCGCTTATGTGCACATACTGCCCTTTCTTTTGTTTGTGTTTTTTCTTTCCCGTTTATTTTTCCACGCATTTGTACAACAGTTGCAAACTGTGATGATGTTTTTCCACATTCGTTTGTTCTCTCTATGTTACACGGTCGCATTCTGTTACTTCATCAGGAGGTTGTGTAACGGATGTAAACGTTGAATCCTTTGAGTTGGCGTCCGGTTTAAGCAATGCGGAAGTGAATCGGCTTTATCCTTTTAGTTCGAGCTCCTACATCTACTTATCATGGCAACCACTGTCCTGAGATAGTCCATACTCTGTTCGAGAAAGTTTGTGCGCATGTTCCTTATATATCGGACACTGGTTTCTCATTGGCACCAAATATCACAAATGCGTGGAATGTACCAAACAGAGTTACAGAACTTGAGTAATCAGGAAAGTTGTGCTGACAACCAGTTTATTGAACCGGTTCAATAGACTGGATGCTCAGTTGCCATTAAGTCTGCGTACGTTCAGATGCGTCAGAAAATGTCTAGCTTGGAGTTGGTCACAATTAATCATCTAGAATTTTCATCAAAAATCCCCTGCAGACTACTTGTTGCCTGCTCACAAACCTGAAATTCTTTTATCTTATCAGGTTGAAATAGCAAACACTCGAAGTTGGGGTCTTTGGAATGTCCACAGAAACTTATATTCCTAAGCCATCAAATCGCGACGGGCAACGCTTGTCACAGCGGTTAATGATTGATTGCATGGGTAATGCTGAAGCACTCGTTATGTGAATGGATTAACTGCTGTCTCTACCAGATGAAATCAAACATGCGGGTAGTGTGTTGCGGGCAAGGGACACCTAAGATTTATCTGCATCAGATGCGGTCCCATAGTTGAATTGACTATGATTCACTCCAACGTATATTACGGTCCTGATAGAGATTGCGTTTGCAATCTATTCAGTAGAGCAATTCAAAACGACCCCTTACTAATGAAGCGTCACATCAGTGCCATTGCTTGGGCGTCCGGTAAGCAAGGAGCTATATAAAAACAAGTTACTTACGAAAACTCGGAGTTTTGGAGCCTTTCAAGCTTTCGTGTCCAACTGGTCAGTGTGAAGAGAGTTTAGAAGGTAGAGCGGCCAATTGAGCCACACCTGAAGGTTGTATACTCATCGCCCGTATGCACCGTGAGAATCGGTCGATTTTGCGGATCGAGATGTACAGGCAGGATACATTTGGCGTTACCAGCCCATGACTGTGAATCTGCTCACTACCAACTGACCTACTCACGCCAGCGAGAGCCAATCTGTTTTACGATTCGAGTTTCACAAGTATGGGAATGTTGTGCTGTCAATTTGAGCTAACCCAACAGAGAAGAAGCAACACCCTCGTGAATCTAGCCAAAGGACGAGATTGGCGCCGAATGTGCCATACAAACTATGTATCCTTCCAGTGCCGAAAATTTTTTTGATCTTACCCCAAGTTGGTTTCTTGCGCCATAGGAGTGTTAGGCTATTCTGGTCTCCGTCCGGTTTCTCACTCGTAGTCCGCGCCCTGTGTTGCGACCCCTAGAGTGGTACAAGCTAGGTTGAGGCGATGGTGAAAGCAGCAAATTTAGGCGAGAGGCGGAAACAGATTATGAAAAAGGCTACCATCGTGGAAAATATAGGCAAATGCATGGCCACCGCGATTTCCATAACGACGCTACCAACTTGGAAGGCTTTATGATCGGATACCTTTCCATCACTCGACCAGCCTGCTCGTTCTTCTTTGCCTTGCTATCGCTTGGTCACCACAGGGTTTCTCCAGGTAAGGTTGATTTCGGACAAACAAAACAGGTCTCATTGTGATGGGAGAGTGCGCAACAGCAAAACTCTCCAGTACAGGTCTCAATCAGGGCTTTTTCACAAATCACTGTCTCCAAACTGGAGGATAGTTAGAGACCAGTTGTTCTGCTAACTGTCTTAGCCATGTGGTCTAATAGACAACCAACCCGGCGGTCTCATCTAATGTGAAGAGTGTTTCGAAGACACTTAGACTAGCGGTGGTTTTGGCTCTGATCAATGTCACAAACATTGCATCTCCTCAGCATTGTGTATTCTACTAGGATCCAACTCAATGGAAACTCACCTGTGCCGTATCTTTATTTTCGACAGCCGCTGCGTCGTCTTTTTTGTCGTCCACTCGAGAATTTGAAGTTGATCGGCTTGGTGTTTTGGGGACCAGTTGCGAGTGAACAAGAAGGTTATGCTCAGTAATTTCGGTAGGATGCTAAAGGTGACAATTGCGAACGGAAACATACGCGTTCGCAATCTTAACCTGTATCGCTGAAACTATTAGATGATGTCATATGGCGGTTCAAGAAGGGCAAGTATGACGTATTCTAATGAATAGCTGCGTTTGAAATTAAACCTAAGTATACAGAATGATGTACTAAGCCGTTAATCTTGTTGTTTCTTGTGACAAAATTAAATTGCCCATCCTTCTGAATTTCTTTCCATGCATTCATGTGGCTCACTCTTTTAAGTGCTGCATGTCAGCAACAACAGAATTTCTCACAGCTTCCCAAGGTTTACGGATCAGTATGGGATGCCATTTTCCGCGACACTCAGTTCCAAGTGATTCCCTGACTGAGCTTCATTCGGTAAGGGCACAAATGATTGGGGTCACTCAATAGTAGTAACCCGATATTTAAACAATATCTAGCTACCTGTGAGGTCCACTAGACACTGATTGCAATGGAAGCATGGTGTACTACGGTTTAAAAAGCCAATTGCTTGCTTAAATCCTATGGAATGGCCTGAATGGGAACTACAAAGTGGTCACAAGAACACAATGATACAATGGAATTCATTTTGTTGAACTCATCATTGTGTTTCGTTTGAGACATACGTAAAAAAACCTGTTTCAATTATGTAAGATAATGCTGGTTGGTGCACTGTTTTTTTCAACATGAATCGGACTAGAGAGCGGATTCCATTGAAAATTCCTGATTATCCAAAGATGGTATCCACAAGTCCGTAGCTTTCCAGACAGTGAAGCAGTATGCGGTGGTGCAGGCGATCGAAGGCTTTGAAGAAGGCTAGGTAAATGACATCAGACCCTGTCTCTTTGTCGGCCGCTTCCGTTCAACTACTGCGGGCGTTCGGTGGCTTGGTTGTGCATGTACTGTGTTGACGGAAACTGTGCTGCTCCGACGCTATGCTTTTGTGGCTTTCTACATGGTCGACTAGAGCCTAAGCGATGATTGCCTTCATCACCTTTGAGTGTACAGGGAGAAGGACCACTGGGCGATAGTTTGCAGGTTTTGAGTGACTGCCACTTTTGAAAATTGCTGTGATTAATTCGTTTCCAAATGTTAAACACAATTTGTTTATCCAAGCACATTTGGAAGAAATGCGCTAATGACCCAGCCAGTGTTGTGGCTACTACCTTCAGCGCTCTCGGATGTATATCATCGATTCCAGGAAAATTTTCACTGCACGGTGAAAGCAGTTTCCCTAACGCAGATGTGATGGTAAATGCGGCGATGGATGCGTGTATGTACCACTGGTGGATGTCTTTTTGGGAGGTCGGAACATGCTGCATCCGCGGAGCATAGGTTACTTCTTTACTGCTCTGTACAACTCGAACTGTCTTGTTATATGGGGGATACTATGCTTCACTTTGCGGAGACTGCTCACCTGCTTGTATATTGCTTTCTGTTTTCGGCAAATTTACAAGCCAGATATTGTTAGTGGGCCATATTGTCATCACGGACAAGCGCATTACAATGGTTGCGCTTATTCGCTTCATTTTTCGAGAACAGGACTGGCTCTATATGTGTGTCAAACTGCATCCCTTAGTGACATGCGTTTTCAAGTTCTAATTCCGATGATGGATTAGTGGAATGAACGCTCATCGTTTCTGAACCAGTTACGATCAGATTGCTGAGATGTTTAACAAATGGAATCCAGAAGCTGTCGGGGAGCCACCTTTCAAGAAGTTTCATTCTGCATATCAATCAGATTTGTCAGGGTGATCTTCCGGGTATTCAGCGTAACCCGGTTGTACAGCATCTTGACATGATCGCTTATCCCTAGTTTCTCGTTTGTAAGCACAAGGTTTGTTATCAGCTCTTTACCTAGTTGGTGAAGTGATTGAACAGTGGAATACTTGCAATAGGGTCTTGCAGTTCAGCCTCGGATGCTTCAATAGAGAATACCTAGGCGTCTAGGCCGTGTACATTACAATCATCTGAGACGTGAACCTGGTTGTAAGTTGGAAGTAAGCCTTTTATCATCGGTGGTATTAGGCAAGAATCCATCTCTAATGTGGACGATGGGAGCGATAATTGACTGCCACGTAGGAGTTGTCATTCTGACTGAGACGCAAATGACACCATAGCGAGTCGGTGACCCGCATCTCCAGATCATCCACTGGTTCCCATTGTAGTTTGTTGCGCAAGTATAGTATTACACTACCGCCTCTGATGGGACCATCGTTTCGGAATGGTGACATTACTTGAATTGTGGTCTCGGCATCCGTAACATATGCGCGTAAGTAAGTTTCGGTGATAGAAATGAGATCCGAAGCCTAATGTAAGTGTATGAGTGCATTGTCGAGACGTTCCTTGAATACCGTTAATGTGGAGGAAATAACAACGTAATTTTGGGGGGGGGGCATTCCATATTTGGTACACGCGAAGTGAGAAGAAATTCCTGCCACAATCCAACCGGCTCTACTGTGTGGTCAGCTTTGGATGGTGACCTTTTAGAGTAGCATTGTGTTTAAGCTTCAGAAAATGAATACAAGCAAGGTTTGGAATGCTTAGGATCAAATATGTCATTATCAAACCACCGCGCAGGCGTCGATATTGTCCACTGTAGGCCCCAAGGGTATTCAACCTCAATTGGTAAGAGAAATGAAACAGACACTTGACGTTCTTGATTGTCCTTCGTTGTGGCAGATTACGTGCAGTGAGGTTGTGTCTGTGCCAAGGCTGCCAGGGGTGTATGGCATATTTAGAATGGGACCTACTGTAAGAATTGAGCACCCGAGAGAAGATTGAAGGGTCAAAACGACCGAACACTCCGCGAAAGGCCAAAGTGTTGGTTGCCTTTTTTGACGCCTCTGCCTGATGTGAACAGCCATTTTTCTCTTGTACTATCATACCTAGATC